AAGCCACATTGCAACAGATACCCGTTTACAGGGGGGACCACACTCACACAATAGAGAACAACACACAGAAACATCCATGGCCTGAGTGGGATTTGAACTCGCAGCCATTGGCTTCACAGTCAGGCACGCTAACCGCTCGATCATCTGGCCGCCTCAGCTAGAATTCTGAAAATATATATTGCAAGCTTTCATTACTTTTCAATTGAGAATGCTTGGAGTCTGAAAATAAAGATTCATTACGGTTTCATGTTATCCGCAGAAGCAAAATTCGCAAATATTTGTTAAAATTTGCGCCACGTAAAATAAACTATGCAGTCTTGCTTCTGCATAATAACCCAGACCTTCTAAATTTGCTTAATATACTTTATAATTGATATGGATGTTTTTCAGTGTAAGGTGTGAAACCTTCCAGTTGAGCTCTTCTATGCTTTGAATCAAATGTAATTACTAAGTTTACAAAATATGGAAGCTTATGTATTTGCAGAGTGAAATATTAATGCAAATGTTGTGTTTAGTCAAATATATGGGACAGTTTTGAAAGGGTGGACAAACTTCAATGAATTTAGTACATAATGCTAAATTTTCTCTCCCTATCTATTGTCATTCTCAACACTATCCAGTTGGAGATCTGTTGATAGAATGAACATTTGAATAATGTATGTTTGGCTAGATATTCATCTCTACTTATTCAACATTCAGTAATATTCGACTTATTCAAGATTATTAAATATTCATTTGACTTCATTTTAGCAGAAAAACAAAACATTCGACTTAAACTATTTGAATATTATAATAAATCAAGTTCAGAATTATTAAAAGTTGAGGCTGTGTAAAAGATTGGTTTTGGAATGTAATGTAATGAAAAAAATAACAAAAAAAAAATACTATAAATAAAACTTAAAAAAAAACAAAAAAAAAAACATTTAAAAATTCTCTAAAAAGATCTCTCTATGTATTTTATTTTATAATCTAAAATCAAAGCAAAATTTCGTCGAAATTTAATCTATATGATGAAAAATTAAATTAGGAGATTCTATATCCTCATTAATATAAATGATCATCTTCAAAACTTTATTTTGTAGTTAAAGACTTTTTTGCGTAGAATTTAATTTTAATACTTAAGCGTTAATTTTTTTAAATAAATTTTTCATAGGATATCAAAAGATCAACTTTTAAAGCAGAAAACTCCTTAGTAAAATTCTTCAATTTTTTTAAATCAAATAGTTGAGTACCAAAAATTTGTATATAAACATGAACGCCAAAAAACTGGGTTAGTTTTCCTCACAAATCAGTTTCCTATCACCTCTCCCTTAGATAGCGACAGTACTTAATAAAAGGTCTGAGATCTTTTCTTTGTTTAAGACTTTCTTTAAAATTAAATATGGAAAACCGATTTTGAAAAAAAAAGCTTATCGGTCATAACGATCATGCGTCGGGGGCTGCTTTAACGATTTATCACAAAGACTAGCATTGGTCATTATTAAGAGTCGAATTTTATTAGAGCAATTTGATGTCAACTATGTTTAATAATACATGCGATATTTTTTCAATCTAACCAATTTGCATTTTAATATTCATCAATATTTTCGTTTCCCAAATAAGACTTATCGACGTTCATAAAAGTATAATATTCAATAATTATCGTTATGTAAAATATCTACGATTCTTTTTAAGATGGTATTGATAATTGTTATATTATCACTTTCGTATTGCTTATGCATCTTCATCATTAATGATCGCGATTTTATCATAATTGCTTTACATCTGTGCAATGTTGATGCCAGTTGATCCGAGAAAACTGGAATCTGATGGGGTGATGTGTTGCCGAACTTTGTTGGCTGATCAATTCAAGAAGGAATAATTTTATTTCCTCCTTGGAGTCACTTTAGGTCTCGGACTAAAGAGAAGGGCGATAGTTGATTCCCGGAACAAACTATCCAAATCTTCACAATAGTTAACTTGAATGGTTTCATTTATTGATTGCGATACATCCATATTCACCATCTTGTACACGATAGAAAGATTAGCTTATTAACTATAGTCAAGTTGTAAATAAAACAGCACACATTAGAGAAGGCAGCACAAAGATACATTCCAAAGTAATAGGATGACACGAGCCCGCTACCTGCAAACTTTGGAACGTTTGGTGGAAAGGACAATACCTCGCCTTCTTCTCCAGATTCATATCTAAACAAAATGGCCTCACAAATGAGTGGTACTGCAATCTATAAGCTGGGTTTAGAGCTAAGCCGTACTTTCAAAATTGCAGTGCTTTCTTGTCAAACAAAAAGCGAACCCTCTTCCCTTAATTCTCAAAAAAGAAAGATGGCTGTTGAGCTTGGTTTATCCTAGTGTTGTCAGACAATAACAACAACATATATTTTCTCTACAACTAATGGGGCTCCGTTAAAACTCTTTGAAGATAAGAGGTAGTAGGTTCGAATTCTTCTGTAACCATGTATGGAATTTGTGCTCTTCTTCTCAAATGTATAATATCGACTCTTACATTATAAGTCGTTCTTTGAATACGCAAGCTTTTATAAGAATATTTATACCTTATATTTCTGATAAAAGCTAGAAGTATACATATTATTTTCTGTTATAGAATACATATTATTCTATATTAGTATACATATTATTTCCCATACTATTGTGTTATATTTCATTATAATCTATTTGATTATGACCTGATACAATCATTTTTCTACACTGGGTGCCATACATCACTTTATTGCCATTATCCCAATACTCAATGTTTTTTTTAAAATACTTTTTAGTATAAATATGCAGGAGTTTATGTTCATTATAAATACGTCTTACTAACCCTTGTCAACCCCCGAGGTCGAAGCAGCTTAAAAAGTATTTCTAAATTGAATACTCACGTAGGAACAAGTCCTAGAGGCTATTTCTCGTGCGAAATCTTAAGAATCGGTCAAGTAACGTCTTTACAGCAATAACACCTGTCCTACACCCCTTCCTGGTTCGGGGGAGGAACGTCTTTTGACGGCAAACGTAGGCAGAGGGGTCGACCGACGAAGACGCATAAAGCATTAAAGGGCAAAAGCGAAGTCAAACATGTCAGAGAGTGAAGAGGAGGACTGGGAGCTTATAGGCTTTGATGACTCTTTTGAGGTTAGTCAACAAGAATGGGCGGCTGAATCACAGATCTCGCTTGAGAGAATGAATAGATTATTGAAAAAGCATCAGGGGAAGACGCTGAATGCTCCAGCGGTTGCGGAATTCCCACAGGTGGCATCCGAATTCTCACGTATCATAACGGAGCAGAACGTGCTTTTGTCCTTCACCAGGGGTCGGCAACCCAAAAGAACTTTGAAACTTATGATTAAGAAGAAAACAAGGGCCCAAAATCCTATGCCGAAGCACTTAGAGTCGGCCGTGAGACTTGGCGATCCAAAAAGTCTAAAAAACATGCCCTAATGATTGACTCAAGGGAGAAGGCGCCTCCTGAGGAGATTGAGTGAACCATCAAAGAGAACATCGATTTGGCTGAGACTGAAATCAGAGTGAAAGAGCTAAGAACTACCCGAGCGGGAAAAGTGCTTGTTGCACTCGACAGCAAGCAAGATTTAGCACTGCTAAAAGAGCAGATAAAAGAAAAAGGCCTGAGTAAGAAACTAAAAGTCGAAGTGTCGCTTAGAAAGAAACCTAAAATCATTATTCTTGGCTTACCTGAGTCTTTAACCAAGGAAGGACTCACCAAACAACTCAGGGAGTGCAACGACCTCTTTAAAGAGGGAAATTTTGAGGTCTCATTTACAGTTAAAACCAAAGGAGGACAGCACTGGGTCGTGACACTTGAGCCGAAGAGCTTCAAAGGCATCATGAGACGTGACGCCGTATCAATCGGTTGGAAGAGCTACAAATACAGCGAATACCTACGCCCGCTCATGTGCTATAAGTGCAATCGTCTCGGTCACATGGCCAGAGATTGTGACAATCCTGAGACCTGCTCAAACTGCGACGGCACAGAACGCCGAGCGGACTGTCAGGGGAAAAGTAAATGCATTAATTGCTACGAAGCCAACCAACGGTTTGGCTCAAACCTAAAAATCAACCATAGCGCCATAGGCAAATTCTGTGTGTCTCATAAGAGAGCCGTAAGAAGTATCCAGCACAAGAGCAATTACTAGGACTAAGCCTAGCAAAGAGATCACAAGAGACTTTGAACCAAAGTGCCTGTAAGAAATCATGAGACCTCCACTCCTTTCTGTAGCCGCAAAGCAGTCAGCAGGTGACCTTCGCCCTGTATTACTGCTTTATTGTGTTTTGTTCAAATTTTGTAAAAGATTTTTCATTAAAGTGTTCTGGTTTTGGCAAGAGGTTTGCTTGCCTTCCAGTCGGAGGGCGATTTTAGCAGGGTGACTGCTGTCGGTCCAGTTGGTCCTGGAGTCTGCAGCAGGTTTGGCGCTTCCGCCTCCGGTTTTTGACTGGGGCTTCTGTGCCTCCTCTGCTCATCGACTAGACTATAGTGCATAGGGCCTGGGTCGCGTCATCAAATTCCTAACCCCCCTTGTCAAGATTAAAACAATACAGCATACATTAAAACAATACAGCATACATTCACAAACATACATTCAGGATTATGGCGAACTTGAACCAACTTTTTTTTACACTGTAGAGCCTTTGTTGGTTCAGCGAGACCACTCAATCTACTCAATGATTAAAACGAAGTTTTTACTAAAAAACTTTCTTTTGTTATCACTATTCATTGAGAAAATAAAAGTGAGTACCAAATAGTATTACTGTTACTTTTGCAATTCCATTTTCATCAAACTGATTACTATTCGTCAAGATCTTTTCAGTATCGCTAATAGCGAAAATTATATATTTTATTTTTTTATCATCTAAACTTTAGCATGGGATTCTTTAGAGACTTCGAAGCTTGAACTCCTGACATTTTGTGTCACAGTCCGATATCTCAGTCTCATAGCTACCCCCTGACACACGCATATTTTAACTCCAACTTTAACTCGATTTCTGTGCTAGAATACTGCAACTGTCACTGGATATAGATCGTTGTTTTCTGTCTCTCTTTATTATAAAAACCAGCTTATGAGAAAAATAATTGCAGTTTAAGAATTCTATTGTGATTGTAGCTGTACTCAGTTGACGGGAAAGCTTTTTAATAATGGAAGGGTAGGAATCAATATTTTTGTTTCAATTTTTCTTGAATTATTTGAATTTTCATTAATGTTTGTACTTACTGTTGTTTTAAAGAGACTGGTTTTATATTTTTGAGAAATTTTAATGGATTTTAAATTTAAGTTCTTTGTCGCTTCAGAAATTTAAAAAATAATATTTTCTCTTGAATAGTTTATGTAGTCGTGGAGACTTTTATTTTAAAGTCTTTATTTTCAATACTTGGATACCATTTTTGTTCTAATTTTTTTAAATCGTTCATAATGCAAAAAGAACTCTTAACTCATATTAAAGGCTTTTTAGCGTAATGTTTTTTTTGTAGAGACAATTTTGAGTTCGATCTTTTTGAAAAGTTTTTTAAAGTTTAATTCTAATTTATGGTGAGTGGTTTTGAAGTAACTTGTGATTGTAATTTCTATGTATTGAAGTTTGCTTCATTGAGGTACACTTGCAGTTGGGCTAGCAAATATAATGACAATTTGAATTTGTTTTCTTTTTTAAAGATGTGCTTGGTGCTAACGCTTTCTTAAGTCCTTGAAATTATTTTTAGTGCTGATTAAATACTCAGCTTAATGTAATTGCTCCAAGTCATAATTTTTTTGTATAAAGATTTTAACAAGTTTCTTAACACTAATAATTCGATCGATCATTAAAAATAGCTTATGTCAAGAGCAGCAGGACAATTGGGTTTAACAAATTTGTTGAATACTTCAGCTGGCCAACTTAACCAACAGCTTAAACCAACCCTCTCGTCCATGCTTAAGTAAGTTGACAGTTAAGAACACACAAATGAATATTAAGTTTCTTCATTGCGAACAACATTTTGCATTATGATCGTAATCTAGGTCTTAATCTTGAGGTATGAAACATAATTTGCAGTTTGTGATTAGACTGCCCATCTGTGTGCATGGTATGGTTAGAAAACCAGGTAACACTGACTTAAGCATTGCTGTATAGGGCTGCAGTTACTTGGGATCTGTAGATTGAGTTTGCTATAAGGATAAATTAGACTGACCAGTCTGTTTCAGCAAACCTTTTAGTCTTAAATATTGTAATGTTTTTTCTATAATGGAGATTTCGGTTTTCGGCGTATTTGAAACATTCTGAAGTACGACTTGTATACTTCATACTATTCATTTCTTTTAAGAGGATTTTTAATGAATACGGATTTCAAATATCCGGGAAACTATAGTCAACCTGAATTTTGTACCAGCTTTTATTGCTTGGGGAGAATTTCTTGAGTGTCGGTATACAAATGCACCTTAAGACTTTGCCCCTCTCACTTCTAGTTGCTTTGTAATTCGAAAAATAACTTAATAAAGTAATTATCTCTTTTCATAATTTGTTCCAATTTAAGTGCTTATGTAATCAATCTAGTGTTTGTCTTATAGAAACTCGTATATATATAACTTTATACCTAAAATGCTGGGAGAGGCCAGAGCGGCTCCTTGGGCAGTTTGGTATCTATTCCTCAACCCTAGATAGGTTTGGGTATTGTATACACTTTGGTGTATGGAAGGTACCCCAGTTTCATTAAACAAGATTATTTTATATCTAAGCCTTATTTTTAGAGAAGGCAACTAAACTATTTTAACCAATGTATGCGTATAATTGAAAAATCAGTGTTCCGTTTAAATATTTTAACTAAATCTAGTAAAATACCATAAATTCCATTAAATCTATGTATTTGTAAAATTAAGATATTCTAAGGTTATAATTTAAGAATTCTATTTTCATTGCTTAATTGATCTACATAATCTGTGAACGGCCAGACTGGGCTTCGGCTATCTTTTTAGGTATACAATAATGTTCTGTTTCTAATGTTAATTGATTCTTCATTCTAATGTGTTAATGTTAAGCCTTTAGCTATTAATACGATGAGCAGTTTAAGTCTGACTGCTTCACCTGATTTTCTTCAATATTCATTTTATTTGCTCCTAATAAAAATCTCGTTTAGAATATCCTGAATAATTTTAGTTTATATATTGAAACTTATGGAGAATCTTGATTCTTTGTGCTCATAATTTAAATGTTTCAAACTTCCGTAGATCTAAGACAGTCTCAATAAGCTTCGAACATGTTGATCCAACTGGTGAAGTAAAAGATAAGAAGAATCCTATAATTTTCCTGCATGCAATGCTTTGCTCAAAGAAAATATGGGGTGATGTTCCTCAAACTGTGGCAAATAACACAGGAAGACGAGTAAGTAACAAATTTTAGTTGTTTGCAGTCTTTAATGCTATGTAGATCTATGAAAGTATTGCATGAAAGATCAAATTAATGATTGTGAGAACCAGATATTCGCCATAAATGAATAAACTAACAGATAGAAATTTCTTGTTAATATACATATTATATTTTGTTAGCTATTAAAAATTAACTGAATGTAGTGTGCTTTGAACCGTAAATATTAACCGTTGATATTTGTTATCAGGAATTATAACAGCCAAACAATTTGCCATGCGTGGTATCTGTAACAAAGCAAATTTCGATTTGTTTAAATTTGAATATTCATAAATAGATAAGATTTTCTTGCTTATGTTTTAAATTTCTTTTGAAGATCTAGTTCCAACTTATAGTGGTACGCTGTTACTAAAATATAAAAATTACGAAAGTAATTGGTTTGAATATAAATTCTTAGAGTTTTATCGTAAAGATTGTCTAAACCGGTGTGTAAATTATATTTGAGTAACTTTCGAATATGTAAACTCTTGATCGAATTTTTTCCAAAGCTGTTCTCAACGCAAACGTTTACGTTGCTTTACTAATTTTTGATTGTGGTTTAATGTTAAATAGTTTAGTGTCGAAACTTTCAGTTTAGGTATCTGTTACATTACTTAACAGAGTAACAAAATTTAGGATTGCTTCAATAGGTTGTTTATCTTTATGAAACTATGATTAATTATAAAAGGAAATTGCAGTTACTAGATGTTATCATTACATTCTATAATTAACTATAGGCTGTAATCAAAAATTATCGTTCACAAACTTTGCTGTTTACATACACTTAATATAGCTAAAAAGTTCCTTAAATCAATTGGTAACGAAAACTATATTTTTGGGCATTTGAATGTTAAATATCAATCATATTAAGTAGTCCTAAGGAACTATTTATTCCTCATAGATTTAAAATACAGCTACTCCTGTAGCAGTTTAGATACATAGATCACTAATTTTAAGATACGATTACTTTACTTCTGTAATCTCCCTGAATATCTAAGAACAAATTTAAGTATAAAAATTATATTTTCTGATACAAAAGGCATTGTATTAACTCACAAAGTAAATTTAATCAACACATTTTTCTGGTCCTTAAATTTCTGTTTTAATTTTTCGTGCTTCATAATTTCTAATTTAAAGCATTAGATCAGTTCTCCAAAAACACTACAGGCTAAAATGTATTATATGACCTGCTTTAATGAAGATGAAAGACTGTATCAAAATGAAATCGGAAATACTATTCTATTAATGAAGTCTTACACATTAGAAGTCCTAATTGATATCTCTTGAAAAATAGTTTTGCATTTAATATTTTAATGAATGTATTTTCTGAAATTAATCAACGTCTTTTAGAATTTTGAATAGTTTGCCGAAAATTTTCGAAATTCATAACTATTAAAATGCTTCATATTGAATTATAAGGCTCCATTAACATAATACAGATTAGGTTTTTAATTGATCTCTTGTTTAACAGCAGAGTTATTAAATTATAATTTTGATTACAGGATGAAACTGATTTAGGCGAATTCAGGAAAAGACAATAAGTAAATAACAATTAGAATAATAAATTCACTTTGTGGATTTACGGAAAAGCTCTTGAAGCAACTTAAACCAAATTTGTTTCATTTTAATTTAGAAGTCAGAAAAATTCTAGCAGAAGACAAAATTTTTTTTAAAGATATGTGCACAGCAATACAGCACTTCATCAGGGGACACACTGACTGCCAGCACGCAGGAGCCTTTAGTTTTTGGTAGTACCACTGAAGACAGAAAGGCTCCTCTGTGTTGGCAGGCAGTGTGTTCCCTGATTAACTGCTGTCTTGCTAACACACATCTTAATTGTTTTTTACTTTTCTGCTAGAATAGCACTTCTGAATTATAATTTTGCTATCTGGCTGTTATCCAAGATTTTTACTGTGTAATTGAACGAAAATTTTAGTTTTAGAATGCGAAATTTTATATAAAAGCACACTACTTTTAGAGCTTGTGTTATTTCCTAATTTTGCTAATAATTCGGAAAGCAGATAAATTTCTGTAGAGATACTACTTGATAAGACTTAGTTTATGTTCTGCCTTTCAGGTTTATACTTATGATGCCAGGAATCATGGTGAGACAACACATGCCGACGAGTCTGATTTCAGTTTCAGCTTTAATGTTGACGACCTCTTTCTATTGATGGATCAAATTAAAACTGAAATGCCAGAACATCCGGAACAGTTTATTTTAGTAGGTCATGATATGGGTGGAATAACTGCCATTAGAGCTGCTCTAAAAGAGGTATATTTAATCATTTTATATAATTTATATTCCTTGGACGTGGCAGACATTAACTTTTTGAGTCTTGCACGAGCGATTTAACTTTTCACTAGATTCCTGTTACATTATTGGCATATAAATTAATAGTTGGCTATTTAATTATTAGATCTTAATTGTTGTAATTCTTATTCCAAAATGTTTAGAGTTCCTATTTGGAATATTTAATGCAGTTTAAACATGGCCCAGTGATCTGTATTCTATTTGTAACAGTCTTTGAGGCGAATGAGTTCAAAGCTTTGCCCTTACTCTTTTGTACTGCGATTTGTATTTGAATATTTAAATATTATGAGCAGCAAATCTGGTTTTGATCCAGTGACTATTCTAGTAAAATTTAAACTAGTTCTTCCCATTATGAATGTGCAATGTTTATGGTACTGAAGCAAATACAAATACATACTCTTCGCATTACTTAAAATCTGATCCTGATATTTGCCGGAAATAGCCTTCTCAATTAAAGTGTATAGTTTAAAAAGTGCTTATTTTTCCAGATGAGTAAATTTTCAGATTTCATTTAAAAATGTCTTTGAATATGTTCAAATTGCCGTTTTGGTAAGCCGAGAGATTTATAGAATCGCTAGGTTTAAAACCCCAAAATTTAGCTTTTAACAAGAGTTTTCAATACTTGCACCAAGTACTGCTTCGAAATATTTAAGTTTCTAAACGTAAAAGACTAGTATGGATTATCAATGATATTAAAAACTAAGAAAGTAATAAATAGTATTTTGAAGTTTTATTCGAACTATTGAAATTCGATATACTTTGACTTCTAGGCTTTTATCATTAAATCTCGGTGAGTGATAAAAGTAGCGTGGTCTGTTACATTAATATGCACAATCGTCTGAGAGGTTGGGGTTGTAATTTTTTTATACAATTGACTCATTTTAGCAAATCCTTGCAACCTAATAAATGCCTGCTATAATAGCCATACGTGATAAACGCTTTGCATATTAGCCACTCAGTTTTTTTCTTCCAAATAAACTACTCAGCAAGCATTTCAAAATTAAGGAAACAGATTAATCGTGCCTCTCAAAGTTAAAGTAAGCAGACTGTGTACAAAAATCTGCTTTTACTATCAACCGCTTTTTATGCATTAAATATTGAATATGCATTATAGACAATCTTTCCTCAAAAGGTCTAAATTTTATAAGCTCGCTCTCGAGCAGGCGTCAAATGCTTATGTGTTGCCTTATATAAAACTTAATATTTATAGTGAAGTTTTTAAAAGTTAAACTTAATTGATAGCGATAAGGATAATTTCCTATTTGATTTGTTATTGGTCTAAAAAGTTCCTCAAAGAATAAGTATTCTTTCATAGTTTGCAGAATCTGTACTTTGGTTAAACTAGTTTTAAGAATTTAGATTACCTGAATTTTAAAAATCTTCCCTTTCAATATGACTGCAAATGTTCTAGCGTATAGCTAGAATGTATATTTTGAAAGAAATATCCGGTGTTTTCGTCAAATAGACATTTTGGGGTTAAAAACAATGAGATAGAGCTTTCTGAAACCAGGGTAAGGGCAGTTGTAGAAATTTAAGAATTTTAAGCATATGATCCTCAAAGTTGGATCACAATAGTTAAATTAAAAGTGCGACAACGTGGTAGAACTTGTTTATTTTCACCAGATATATGGAAGTAAACTTTATTCCACATCATATTAAGTGAAGTTTCATTTTTAAAAACGTCAAACTACGAAATTTTCCTGAAATCTATTTGCAACAAGCTAACAAAACATCATTTTAAGGTATTTAAAATCTAAATGTAGTAATGCTGAACTTTGTTTCTTTTTAGCCTGCTAAATTTGAGATGGTATTTATTGTCGAAATGTATGCGAAGCCAGTATCTAATGAACTGATTAAACGTACAAAAGAGTTCATGACTACGTGGACAAATTGCGTCAAAGAACTTCCTGAAGGTACCCCAAAAGAGGATGTCACAAAATTGAGTGTGGAAAGTCTATATGGAAAACTGGAACAGTGGATGGTAGGTTTAATTCTATACTAGTTTTCTCTGCAAAAAGTGAGAAATTAAGTGGTGAAATCGTGGACTACGTTTTAAACTTTAACAATCAATTCTATTTTTTTGTATGTGGTATGCTTTTTTAGCGAGTTAAAATTTCTCTCTGCTGAACTTATTTAATTGATTAGACCTTTAAAAGTATTTAAAATGTCAGGACTATGAGATTCAAAGCTTAAATATATGGACATTTAGATGTGATATTTAAATTTCTGTGACTCGGATTTCCTTTAAACGATTGTACAATAAAATGAGAACGCATTAGATCTGGTTTAATTTTCAAATTGTTAAACGCGTGTAAATTATTTAATTTAAATTTCTATTTAAAATTCTTAATCTTAAGAGCTAGAATACTTTTTTAAACTGTTCCTTGTAAAATGACTTCAACTTCTAAGCAAATGTCAAATTCTTTACAAAATCTAAACTTTTTAACTTTAGAAGGCAAAAACTATTGAACACTGTAATCACGTTTCAACTGCCAGTCGAAAACTTTACCATAAAACAGGGCGGAATACAAAAAGAATAACTTAACGAAAGACTAAAAATATTCAATTTATCTATTAAAATTCATACTCTATTGGTCTCATATTAGTTTAGATCAAAAATACGAAAATTGATAGTAGCAACAGAATCTTAGCATAGAATTGATCGTAGCAATTTTTATTAAAATGAATTTCATTTAGCTGATTAACATATTTATCTGAAAGTGCTTTTGATCAACTGTTTCTAGATTTTTGTATCAGACCAACTTTCGTAAGGTGTTTGTATGCAGCTTTTGATCTTTTCACCCCCTATTTTAGTCTAAATCTGTTTGCAGTGAACGATTTTCGTCATTTTTAGTCTTTGGAATTTTTTGTTTACAGAAAGAGGATAACGAGAAGGCTTCTTACCTGAAAGGAAAGTTTGAATACAAGGGATCTGGAAAAGCCTGGGATGCATGCTACAATACAAATGCTCTTGTTAAAGCTCTGGAAGACCTTGAGAAACACCAAGAGGACTACCAGGGAGTTTATGATGGACCCACTTATTTTCTTTATGGCACCAAATCTCACTATGGAGTGTAAGTGCGATAGTTTTGTAATGGGTTTTATTCCAAATATGAAATTGGTTTTGAAAGTTTCGCATTGAACAGAATCAGAATTTAAGGGAGCATAATCATGGTTTTAATTCTATAAAAATCAATCTCTACGTTATACGAATCGTAGTCTAGCTTGTCAGCATGCTTTTAGATAAATTACTAGGATGCGTTAACAGTTTGCTTTATGCTTCAGTAAGCTATTCAAAAGTGCTATGAAAGAATAAAACTCAAAGCAGAACATCACCAGTTTTGGTGTTCTGCTGAATTGTTATTAGAAAGGAACAGCATTTTGGGAATCAGGGATAAAAATTTTAATTTATTAATTTATTGCCTTTGTCTTTGAAATAGAATTAATTTGAAATTTGAAGGGAAGATAAGAAAAAATTAAAGTTCTGTTTCATAATAAGTTTAAATCTACTAGTAATTTGTTTTCATATTTAATGCCAAAAACGCGCATGTCTTCAAGACTTAAGCTCTACAGTTATTCTGAATAACTAATTTTAAGTCCTGTGATAATGTATTTTGTGAATGAGTAAACAAGACCTATTTCTATCTTTTTATTACAGGAATGATGCTAAGGACTCCATGAAGAAACACTTTCCAAAAGCCGAATTGGTACCATTTGTGGAAGGATCACACATTTTTGTTACTGACAAGCCTGCTGAACTGGCTAAGGTGATTGGAGAGAAAATAAACTCTGTCTAAAAGTTAAAAATTTAAGTAGTCCTATATAACTGTGTGGTTTTAAGTTTGTTCACTAAGCAGAGCTGCAATGTATTATATAAATTGATTAAAGTATATTCATTCAAAACTTTGTTTTTATTTTGTTTAAATGTTCAGAATATAACTATTATATGAATGGTTTCGTGGATTTGCTGCAATTCACATATTCTGTGTCGAACTATTTTTTTATTTTAGCTTGTTTGAATTCGCACTCTCTAATACTAAAAGGTTTTTAATACTTTTGAATGATTTTCTCATTAACTAAATGTTAATCGCCACTCTAAACCACGACCGATAAACTCTCAACCAGCTGTTTTAAGCGGAGAGCGAGATTTTTGCTAATAAGCAAATGAATTTAAATTTCTAAATATTATGCAAAATTTTCTTAGCTTATCTTGTTGCATCGTTATCATACGAGGAAATCATGAGATGAATTTTCTGAAAAGAATGATAGTTACTCTCTACATTATGCTATTAAGTTATTTAATTCATTAACAAGAGTACAGTTCGTTCACCGGAAGTTGACACTTGGCTGCGCCTTCATCACTTAGTATCGCGCCTTCATCATTTGGTATTCGACGATACTATATTGATACCTTTTATCTGATTTCATTCATCAACTTATACCATTTTTATCAGTTATAATTATACGACAATTTAAGTGTTGCACCCAATATGTCTTTTGAACTGTTTTTACCGTATTCTTTGGTGCAGCATGTCCTCATTTGGCTTTTGTGGCACTAAACCCTACATTAAATTCAATCCGACGATACTATTTTTAGGAGAACGTGAATAATCCTGAACAAGATAACTATTTGGCGATCGTATGACAAATATGAATTTAGCAATCTTCATGTGCATTTTTAACATTAAGAGAGAAATATAAAATTTGAGTTATTTAAGTTAATAGTTTGTCCTTTTTGAGAAATTTTGCTGCAATGTATGCAATTAGCTGGAATAACGAAAGGTATAATAGCAGATGATAAAGCGAAGTGATTGAAAAGTAATTCTCTATTTGCGCTTGGCGCACCTTAAAGGTTGTCTCGATTTTAAGCGCGGGGACTTTACACGTCTTACTCCTATGCTGAAATGAACTCTTCGCTCGAGGATATGGAACCAAGTGCATACTCCGGGTGAATTAACTATAAATTTTTTCTTAAGCGCCGAATAGCTGACCCAATTTTTTGGGTTTAAGACTCTCTAAACTCCGTAGCCTTGTAATTCTTAACCAAATCCCTGCATTTGCGTTACATGGAGAGTAAAACCTCTCGCCATTAGTTCGATGGGAAGGGGACTCAAACCCTTGATCTAACAACCACTGAGGCTCTTTTATGTCAGCACAGTTGTCGGTGTAAGATGGATGCGAAATTTGTATTAACCAGCCATCGCTGGGATTTGAATTCGGTTCACCTATTTAGAAGATAAACGCTCTATCATCTGAGCAATCAAAGCTCAACAAGCATAATTGTAAAATTTCACGATTAGAAAAGTCAATAAAATAAAACTACTAGTTTCGTTTCTTTTACACCATGAATATCCGTATGTTTTACTTGTTTAGTTTACTAATGCATTCGCTTAAACTTCTAAGTTAAAGTATTTCTAAACTTCAGACTCCTAACAACGTTGTAGCCGCTTTATTTTTGCTTTCTACAAGACACTTGAGGCATTGTCTCTTTAAGAATGGAAACCTTAATATTCTTGTAGCCTTATAAAAGTGTTTCGATAGAAAGACTATGAAAAGTGAGGTTTAAAATTTTTCCATCGACTTTTTCTTCGCCCTTGAAGTAGAAAATTACATCGTTAAAATGGTTCAGGTAAGAGATGGTGTTTATTTATACCTGAATGTATACTTTTCTAAACATATTTTGAAGTTTCGACATGATTAAATGCCTATTAAATCTATTTTTTTTTTGTAATTTTGCCAAATAGTGCTTCTTTTTGGTTAAGTGTCCTCACGCTATAAAGCTAAGTGATAAAAATACTTATTCAAAATTAAATTGTTTACAGCATAACACACAAGTGCTCAAAAATTATATTGAAACTCACTTGAAGTTAGCTTTTAAAGGCTGAGGAGTAAAATTGCAAGTTGTCCAGGGACCCTAATCATCTGTTGTAAAAGAAAGAAAAATCGGCTATGCTATTCAATAATAGTTCTGACTAGGTAAAATATACATTCATTGAAAAACAGAATAATAGAACAAAATACTCGCATTTAAGTTTTTTTAAATTTCTTGCGAGAATTTGTTGAAACTTTCGAAAGTAATTATTGAATGTTTTTTAGTGAGGTATTGTGATGTGTGAGGAAATGTTGCATAGTTTTAAAGTGAAAAAATGTCTTACTTTAATGGTTAAAACAAATTAAAATTTCGTGAAAATAAGATGCATAAATGGGGATGACAAGTTATAACAGAAATGTCCAGAACTAAACTAAGCAATTATGTTACCTTAAGTTTTTCTCCTACATTCATCAGCGCTTCATTTTTAGTAGTCTTATTAAATAAAACTAAAAGATTAACTATTAAAGATTATACAATTAAATATTAACATGTTCTCTCCGATTCAACAGCCACCTCTTCCACCAATATAAACACTATACTCATTTCTTAGTCTTGAAACATTACATACAGTGGTATAAAATGCTAAATGGTTAGGTTTGTCGTGACAACAGATATTAAAAACCTTGAACCAAAATACCGAAACCTCTTAAGAAAGATTTTGGATAAAGTATTTTTTAAGAAACTCTTTCTAGTACAAACAGCAGACTGAAATGATTTGCTTTTGGTACAAAAGTTATATCTTTTCAATAGTTTGTTCCTCGGAACTGAAGAGGTTCAAGTGAAACTACTTTTTCTCCTGTTTTCTGAAATACTTATGTGCGTCGTGAATTATTGCTGTAAACTATAGCACTAGTTATACTTTAATATAATCACTTAAGATGTCACTTAAGGTATTATAGATAACTTAGGAGGTAAATGCACTCGAACAGCGGAAAACACATAGTTTGAAGAAAAAATTTCAGCAAGTGACTGGAGCAAACCGAAATTCAAAATAAAAATAATATATAAGATATTTGAATGGTAAATATCGACTTTTTTAAAAAATTATTCAAATCGGGTGTTTTTCAGCTTTCATTCGAAGAAGATTACCTTTCCGTAAGCTTTTATTTCCAATGAGCTGCACAATCGGTCTTGCCGATGAGCAGACCTAGTGCGTTCTCTAGAGGTGGTATCCACTCTTTCAGGACCACCATAATGGGTGAGATACCGTTGGTCATGTTAATTTGGACGTCTAGTTTCTGCCACACTAGATGGCAGCACCGAGACTCTATTTGGATGATAAAGTGCACTAGGAATTTAACTTTGCCGGAAATGCCAAGAGTCAATAAGGCACTCCAGGGATCTTTTACATGCCGCATAATCATACGACATGGCCGCTGAGGATTTTCTGCATCCCGAAAGTCCGGTGCCTGGGCCGGGGATCAAACCCGCAAACTTGGGCTCAGAAGGCCGACGACAAACCAACTACGCCCTCCAGCCACCCCTTTCTGTAATCTGAACAGCAGAATCAACTACAATTAAGTTTGACCGGAATTATTTTGTATTTTATTATATTGTGTCTTGTGAAATGACCTCTCTTAATATGTATTTTCAGAATACTTGTGAAGAATGAAAACGAAACAAATTATACACAAGTAGAGCAAATTAATATTTAAGGCAGAAGAAACGAAAAAGGCTATCGAAGTCTAACAAATTCTGAGGAAAGCGACTCTTTAAATATCAAAACCCTTCTGAACTATGCCGAGAGGAATTGAAAGAAGTATATTAGAAATATTTTTGAGTTTCCTTTGCCAATAAAACACGTTTTGAGACCTTCAATCACACCTTGCTCAGTAGTAATTTGTTAACTTTTAATACACTTTTTTTCGACAGCGCAATTCGGGATCTTATGTGTAATCTTTTTAGTCCTCATTTTTGACAAAGATTTTCAAAATATATAATGAGAGTGACCATTGCAAAGCAACTTATGCATGCAAAGCAACTTATGCATGCTACAGAGACTGAGTCATCAAAGTAGAAGACTGGTTTAAATCTAACCAAGCATTAATGCATATTTTTTAAAATTTACTTTTTATTGTAATTTATTCAATATTTTGTTGTAATACTGTATTAATTACTTTTTGTATAATTCTGAGAATTATGTGTGAGAAAAAATAAAATGTAACTTGATCAATTATAAAATGGAATTTGATAAATTGCAAAATATATTTTGATTAGCTATAAAATGTAATTTGATAAATTATAAAATGTTATTTGATTAACTGTAAAATGCATTTTTGTAAATTTAAAAATGTTATTTGATTGACTATAAAATGCAATTTGATAAATTATCAAACGTAATGTATTAACTATGAAAGGTAATTTGATAAATTATAAAATGTTATTTGATTAATGATAAAATGTAATTTGATAAATCATAAAATGCTATTTAGCTTTTCATTTGTTTAAAAAATTTACTGAGAGATCTTTAAAGTCTTTTTTTTTTACTAGTTTTATAAAAGAAAATAATATGCACTCTGTATATTTTTCCATCCTGTAACGCGTGTAAAAGTAATTATTGTAATAAAATTGAAGATTTCTCTAAGATACTATGGGAAAACGATAAGACACGACAAATAAATACAAGGGACTGCCGTGTCACTTTTTAAAGAAACCACTTTATATGACCTATGATATCGACCATCACTAGATAGGTATGTGGTAGTAGTGGTAAGAATATCTACGCTGTTCATTTATATTCTGAATAGCAAAGAGATTTAATAGCCGACCGGCCTGTGTAGGAGGCAAGGAACTGTCCTTGCCTCCTACACAGTTAGATTCAGAAAGGTCCTGGGTTCGAATCCCGGGCAAGGCACGGATGTTTCTCTCTCTCTGTGTTCTATGTCCTTTCTCTTTTGTGTGTGAATGTCACCCACCCTATAAACGGGTTGCGGTTGTGTGAATGTCGTGGCAGAAGTCGAATTCCTGGCCATAGATGGCGCCACTGAAAAAGCAGGAGCAATCGCACCCCCACTGCCTAAACAGGCATACGACAAAAAAATGGAGATTTAAACAAAAAAGGAAATATGAAAAGAGCTTCCTTAATGAAGAGGAAACTAGTTGTGTGGGGAAACTTATAAAGATGGTATGGTTTATTATGACATTAGCAACAAGCGATGAAGATTCCATACACTAAACTCTGGAAGACTATATAAAATATGGGAAAATGAGGCTGTAGAAATACATAAGGTAATTTAAATAAGTGGCGAAGATTTTTTTCTTTAGAAAATTAGTTTAGTTAGATTCAGTTAGTTAGACTAATGCAGTTGGAAATGCTTTGACGAATTAATAAGTTTATCAACTTGTAGCATACAGGAAGAATATTTATTACTACATATACATAGGCAGGCTTGTGTGCTCAATACAAATAAATGCTTATAAGATTTTGTCAATTTAAAAAACTAAAGAGCTTTGTCAAATAAAGGGCACAAATGCACAAATATATAGCACGATAGCACAGAGATGGATCCAAAGTCACTGCTGGATTTGAACATGCGAACTCCTCGCTTCAGACCGTTTTGGAGGAAGGACAACGCACTTTGATCATTAAGGTTCTAGGGAAAAAAGAAGTTGGCAAGAATGGTGAATGATCGAGGTGTGAAGCTGTTGTTGTTGTTAATTTACGTCGCGCTAGAGCTGCACAATGGGCTATTGGCGACGGTCTGGGAAACATCCCGGAGAATGATCCGAAGACATACCATCACAATTTTGATCCTCTGCGGAGGGGATGGCACCCCCGCTTCGGTAGCCCGACGACCTGCGCGCGAAGTCGAGCACTTTACGGTAGCACAGTTTAACGAGGACCCATACCGCACACCCTCGGTCCCTACGCAGACTGATCCAAGTGGGTCACCCACCCGCACACTGACCGCAGCCAGTGATGCTTGACTTCGGTGATCTGATGAGAACCGTGTCTTAACGATCAGTCCACTGCGGGACCGAGGTGTGAAGCGATATCAGCTTTTAAATAAATTTATGCTTAATCATGAACTGAAATTGACATAAATTGCTTTTAATACACTTATCTGCAATAGAAAGTGTACAAAATAATAGCTTAAACCAAAATGCCGTTCTTGATTAGAATTTGGAAACAGTCATGTGCAGATAAAGGTAATAAACGCATGAATAAATAAATGAAGGAAATAGTAAATAATTCTAATTATAGGTTTTTGCTATGGTTTTTCAATTGTTTTGGGTCCCGTAGTGGACTGATCGTTAAGACACGGTTCCTAGCAGATCACCGAAGACAAGCATTACTGACTGCGGTCAGTGTATGGGTGGGTAACCACTTGGATCAGTGTGTGAAGGGACCGAGGGTGTGTGGTATTGGTCCTCGTTAAACTGTTTCACCGTAAAGTGCTCGACTTCGCTTACAGGTCATCGGGCTACCGAAGCGGGGGTGCCATTCCTTCTGCAGAGGATCAAAATTGTGATGGCATGTCTTCGGATTACCCTCAGGGATGCTTCCCAGACCGTCTCCAATAGCCCATTGTGCAGCTCAAGTGCGACGTAAATGAATTACAACACAACAACCAATTGTTTTTGATCAATGCTCATTTTACGTTACATTATAAGTCTCAGTTCTTTATGATTTTATGTATAATTTATATTTGTTCTTTAATTATTTTTGCTACAAGGCTGCTGAATGCACATCAATTGCTTTTTATTTCCAAACTTTTCAGAAAAAAGAGCCCTTATGATTTTTGCTAACAGTTTAAAGGGGAGTACGTAAAGTATTTTTTGGACCGGGATAGGGTGGATGGTAGGGCGTTGAGCTCTTGTCCGAGAAGTTGCGAGTTTGATAACAACCGGCCGAAGACTTCTCGAGTACAGAATGATGATTGATGCTCGTTGAATCTGTCGGAGTCACAAAACCATCCAAGTTCCTATGATAAATCAATACCTCCGGGGATACTGGATTGGAAATCAGTCGTGCTCTGGATCTGGTCAAAATTGTGATTTGCGGATGGATTGATTGTGTGTGAATGCGTCCTCTTTGTAAAACAGGTGTTTTATCTACTGGTAGCTAGAGACTTCTTTCTAGACAGTCGCTAATAATCCATCGCGCAGCTCTAGTGCGACATAAATGAAAATACCGTACCGTAATGGTGAAGCCTTTCATGTTTTAGTGTCCCGCAGTGGACTGATCGTTAAGACACGGTTCCCAGCAGATCACCGAAGTCAAGCATCACTGGCTGCGGTCAGTGTGCGGGTGGGTGACCACTTGGATCAGTCTGCGTAGGGACCGAGGGTGTGCGGTATTGGTCCTCGTTAAACTGTGCTACCGTAAAGTGCTCGACTTCGCGCGCAGGTCGTCGGGCTACCGAAGCGGGGGTGCCATCCCCTCCGCAGAGGATCAAAATTGTGATGGCATGTCTTCGGATCATCCTCCGGGATGTTTCCCAGACCGTCGCCAATAGCCCATTGTGCAGCTCTAGTGCGACGTAAATTAACAACAACAACAACAACAACAACAATCATGTTTTAGTTATTTATTCGAAAATTTGTGGGCTCATGTGTTTGATAGTTTATCAACCATTTTAATAATAATTAAATGCAGCATAAAAGACAATGGTAGGTAGGTAGAATATTTTATTTATGTCTCACTAGGGCTGCACAATGGGCTATTGGTGACCGTCCAGGAAGCATCCCTGATTATGATCCGAAGACAAGCCATCACAGTTTTGATCCTCAGCTGTGGGGTTATCTCCCTCGCTTTGGTAACCCGACGACATGCACTAGTAGTCGAGGAGCACTTAATGATGGAACAGTTTAAAGAGCACCTATACCATACATCATCGGTCCTAACGCAGTCTAATGAAAGTGGTCATCAAACCGCTTACTAAAGGAGGTTCGGTGTTCTACTGGGAATCGTGTCTTTACGAACAGTCCACAGATTGGCCATAAAACACATAAGGACATCACGAAGACAGAATGAAAGTTAAGTTCAGCGGTACTGCTGGAATCGAAAACTTTACCTTTATTTGGAGCATTTGGAAGCTGGGCAATACTGAGCATTTGGAAGATGGGCAACATATACAGACCATTTGGAAGATGGACAACATATACAGACCATTTGGAAGATGGGCAGCATATACAGAGCTTTTGAAAGATGGGCAACATATACAGAGCATTTGGAAGATGGGCAAAACTTTCTCCCATACACCAGTAATATTGTATTCAGGAAAGACTTAAGATTCTTTGCCATATTGAAGGATACCTAGAAGGATTTAAAAAAGAACTACACAAAGAAAGGATACACAAATACTGCTGGAATTGAACCCTTTACCTAAATGCTTCAGAGCATTTGGAAGATGGAAAAAACTTTCGCACACATAGTAATATTGTATTACGGAAAGATATAATGTTCCTTGCCCTATTGGAGGATACCTAGAAGGAATTAAAAAAGAACTACACAAAGAAAGGATAAACAAATACTGCTGGAATTGAACCCTTCACCTAAATGCTTCAGAGCATTTGGAAGATGGAAAAAACTTTTGCACACATACCAGTAATATTGTATTGCGGAAAGGTATAATGCTCCTTGCCCTATTGGAGGATACCTAGAAGGATTTTAAAAAGAACTACACAAAGAAAGGATAAACAAATACTGCTGGAATTGAGCCCTTTACCTAAATGCTTCAGAGCATTTGGAAGATGGAAAAAACTTTCGCACATACACCAGTGGTATTGTATTCTGGAAAGGCTTAAAATTCCTTGTCATATTGAAGGAGACCTAGAAAGTTTTAAAAAGAACTGCGTAAAGGATAAACAGAAATGCTTCTCAGCATCAGTTTGCTGCATTAATCGAACCAGATATCTTTATGACTCAGAGTGCTTGATGAAAAAATGGTGTACGTACTACATTAAAGTACTTAAATCGAATAAACACGAAACTGTAACTGTCACGAATATACGTCAATGCGTTTAGTCTTACGCTAGTATAAAAGATGGTTTAAACTCTGCGGAAATTGCGATTTATGTTATCTCTTTCTTAGAAGATAAGAACGAAATCATTTCTTGGAACAATGGCTAGGTAAAAAAATGGTTTATTCTAGCTTTTAATTTCATATGTTATAGTTTAAATTAGGTATCGTCGAAATGTAATTAAATTTGTATTAAAAATAAATGGAACTTATATTAGTAATACTTAGAAGTTTTAGGGAAATGTTTATATTTTTTTCCCGCTGCAATCAACGTTTAAGAAATTCTCTATCGTATTACGGAAATTTTATCTAGAAATCAAACTGTTGGGATTTTTTGAAGTAAAACATCTAAAGCTGATACTTTAATTTGGAGTTTCAAACTTTAGTTGCCAAAATACGATTCATGTGGTCTAAAGTTTTGAGTAATTTTAACTTGCTGTTATTGAAACTACGAATAAAACTCTACCAGATTTTGAATAAAAGCTTGAAGTTTTTTTCGCTAGTATGCTTTAAACATAGCGAAAAAAACCTAATTTAAATATTATGTATTCAATATTTCTAAATTGATGTTACCAATTTTTACACTTGGAAGGAAATTTGCTGCTTATTCCTTGGTAATTGAAACTTTACTGTTAGGACCCTAGTTTTTGAAATGAATACTATTATATATTAGTTTTAATAGTTAGCTTTAGACTTGTCAGTCTGATAATTTTGAATATTCCGATGTGTTTACTTCTCCTTAAATGCTGGGAAACTATGAATCAAATAAGTAAATGCTTCATGATGAAATTATTAGCTAATAAATCTTTAGGAAGACTTAAATATCTTAAGTATTTTGCGCAATTAATACTGATAGTTTAAAATCTTTCAGATCCTTAAAGTAATAATGCTGATTCTTTATATATTGAAATTTTGAATTGTGTTGCCTATTCAGATTTATTATTTGATATTTGTGAAATAGTTCTTGTGTACTTTTCTAGATATCAACCAGTCAAACTCGCCCATCGTGTGTTTGAAGCTATCGGTGGATGCGATAAGAAAAAACCACCTGTCATTTTTATGCATGCTATGTTGTGCTCTAAGGAAGTGTGGGAAACTATACCTCAGCGAGTGGCAGAATTGACTAAGAGAAAGGTATTTTAGGCTATAAGGCTATTTTTTTTAAATAGGAAAACATTTTACCCTTAAATTAGTAGAACGTCTAATTTAGGTAGCTTAATGTCAAATTTAAGGAATTCAAATTTAGGTATCTAAAATCATTCTCATAATATTAACTGCTTTGGTTTAAACTCTAATTACTCGATATATTTGCATCCGTAATCACTTTTGATTGTAAACAACTTCTATGTTTTCTTTGAACATTCATGTAGACCTCTCAAATAAATCTTTATAACAAATCCTGGGTAATTTCAGTTTTTAATAACCTTAATGTTCAAGCACCTTTAATTTGGTATAATATAAAACTGATTCTTTTATGTCTAAAATCTTGACTCTTAGCTTAAAACTTATAAATTACAAATACTTCATAATTCTTTTCCGTAATTGGCTAATATTTCAATTCAGTTTTTACCCAAATAGAACTATTAAATTCAATTTTGTTAATTTTTTCGCAAATGATTACTGAAGTTCCTGGCACATTAAATGTACAATAAATTAAGGGAATGTTTTTCCGCATAAATAGCAGTTTTAACGAAAACTACTTAAAAATGGATTAAGCAACTGGAAGTCCAATGTTAAATATAGAATATTTTCCAGTTGGTCTAGGTTTAATTTCCTAATAAAAGGATACTTTATTCAACATTCAAAAGTTTAGATATCATAAGTAAGAGCTAAACTAAAAGTTTGACTTGTTTTATAAGTTTACTTCGTCAGTCCTATCAATAGCTTGTTTTAAAGCAATAAGTCAATTTTTACGAACGGGTAAAAGGTTTTTAATCCTATGCAATCGTACTTCTCATGTCTACATTCTTTTTAGTTACATCGCGAATACGAGTTTCACCTTGAGTCAAAATTGATTAATATTTCGAATTTTACCTTGATTACCCAACGTTTCATTAAGACATGGTTTAGTGAATTCATCCTCGTTGCCATTTTTACTCCAGTAAACTCAAAATTAAAAACTTATTGAATTGGAAAAATCCCTCGAATTGGCGAACAAAAGCGTAGTGTTGCATTTCCAACTAATAATATTGCTTTAGCAGACTTTCTGATCTAAAGTGCTACACTAATGCATCAAATCTTTATTGCAATAATTGTCTTTAATACGTTTAGATTTGCATTAAAAGCAAACAAAATACTACTTTATCATTAAGGATATTTTATTATAAGTAATTCCCACTCTTTAGTGTAATCAACATTATTTATTCCAGGTCTTTACTTACGACGCCAGAAACCATGGTGAGAGTGAGTATACGAAGGATTCTAGTTTCCATAACAATCTTCAGGACCTCTACACTTTCATGGATCGTATGGACATCAAAGATTCTGTTTTGGTCGGCCACAGTTTTGGAGGATTGACTGCCATCAGTGCTGCATTGCAGGAAGTAAGATATACGAATTATATATCAAAAGTTGCAGGTTAGTCTTGTTCCAATAAAACCTAGAAAAACTTAATCACTGGTTACCATGAACAGAAGATTTGATCCCCTGGTAGTCCAGACGTAAAGAAATCTTTATTTTTCCTCAACTGCGGAGTTTTTTACGTAGGACTACTAAATAGACCCGTGCTGAGGCATTCTCTTTTTGAGGGGTGTTGCCCGTTTCCATATAATTCAAAGGCGGTTAAGCATTGAACATATTCCGTATTTTGATACCTTTTCGCTACAACCTTCAGTAGTTGAGTTGTATCATGCTCGATTATGTGGAACCACTGAATTGTTTAATAAAATTTGAATATAGACAATGTGTTACATATCAAGGATGCAGAAATTTTATACTATATTATGGTTCAAGTGGCTTCAAGGTTTCTTAGTCAAATTAAAGATTTATACTTCCCTATGTATTCTTCAGTTTCGTGAAATTGTCAATGTATTTCATTTTAAACTATTGCTTAAAAGATATTTACAATTCATTCAAAACTGGATTATTCATTAAATACCGCAGGTGTAGTGTAATTTAGGTACAGTTTTTTTTTTTTTTTTTTTGCTTCTACAGCTTCTACAGTCTACAGATTGNTTTTTATGAAAGCTAAAACTTCTTTGAGAAGATATGATACGCTGAGTGTAAGGGAATATCTTCTCATATCACCCCTATTTTGAGTGAAAGCAATTCACGAGTATTCAGATACGAAAATATACACAATATCCGTGCTACTTGAAGAATAAATGTTTAAAGGCACTTTGAACGTTTTAGATTAAAAAATTGGTTTCTAAAAGTTTTTCATACTAAGCATACATCGAAAGGTCTAGACATATCATTAAATTCATGTTGATTTTAATGTTACGAAAAAATTGTTAATTCGAATGAACTCTACAAAGAGTAAATACCAAGCCAAAGATTTTTTCTGGCACTTTTGCTGAAACTCTTTAAATTTTTAACTGTAGCTTTGTTAGTTTTATCCCAATTTATCAATAAATTTTAATTTAGCCAAAAGTGCATTAAAAGTTTACTTCTACGACTGCAAAATTTTCTCAGCTATTTTTAGAATTCCTCTTTTTTATTTTCTTGTAATGGAACCAAAACATGGTAAATGTTCAGGCATGATAGCCTTGTTAATGAAGTTTTTATAAATTATTTTTTAGCCAAAGAAAGTTGAGAAAGCATTTATTGTGGACATGTATGTGAAGAAAATCCAGCAAGAATTGGTGGATCGGTCCTTTAGATTCATGAACATTTGGACAGAGGTGGTCAGAAGTCTTCCCAAAGACACCCCCGAAGTCGATATCACTAGAATAAGTGTACCTCTTCTGTACGAAAAATTACCTGAAGAAATGGTAAATATTTCATGTCTAACATCTAAAATTTGAGACTAGTTTTATCAATATTGTAAAAGATATAGGAAGCTAAACTTTTAGATTTATACAAGTCTAAAATTTGCTACTTAAAGTAGTGAGCTGAGCTATTGATAATAAATTATCCCCAATCTCAAACTTCATTTATAAAAATTATCTAACATATGACCGGAAACCAATTTATGGTTTAAGTACTGTGCGAGTGTTTTAAAACAAAATATAAGGAGGCTTCGATTAGTGAAGCGATAAGGCCAACAAATTTTTAATAATGGGTCTTGCTGATTCTGTTACAAAACCTTTTAAGGTAAATACAGGGTTTTTAAGATTGTAATCAAACCAAACTAAATATTAACATTGTATTAAATCATTGTTAAACTACTTTGTCATTACATATATGGTAAGTTTGTTAAGGGACAACGTGATCTCCAAAACCACTTTTTGCTGTTTTATTTTCGATAAACGTAACGTTCATGTGTCATCATTGTGTTAGAAGTTATTTTTAAAAATGGGAATTTTGTCTTATATTCCTGTAAAACAATTGATAGGTTTGATGAATAAATGCTTACAAATATTTATTGACTATTTGCTGAAATGTGTTGAAATGATATGCCCCTAAATAAATTCACCGCTATTTATTGCAGATTTGTGGTAATTCACCTACTCACTGATCTATTGATTGGTATTCTATTCTTTATTCACTCGCTGTAACTAAAATTGTTCATTATGAGTTTTTATGACTAATCGATGAGCGTACTGGTGATAAACCGTTAATGAAGTATACAATCTTAAAAATCAGTTTAAAATGGCATTGCGTAAAACACATAAGAATGGACAATCGTCATAGCAATGTTGAATGATTATTCCTATAAAATAACTTTTGGATAAAATTAGATACTCAGACAAATATTGGTATTTAAAACTATTTTCAAAAATAAGTAAATCCTTCATACAATGCTAATTATAATAGTAAAAAGCATTTAGATAACTCAGAGGAATAAATAAGTTATTGAACTCTCTATTAGCAAATAATTTGAAGTCTTACTTTCGTTTCCCAGAAATGTTTTGTTTTAAATACAAGAACAGACTATGTAAAATATTGTAAAAGTGTATATATGCTTGCTAGCTTAAAATTTACTATGATCTTGGTCAGTTTGATATAATTATCTTGAAGACAGCCTTTTGGTCTTGTATCTAAATAGCCCAATTTATTAAACAATAGATATTTGAATGGGAAACTTCACTTGTATTTAGTCTCAAAATCTAATTTAATTATTTTCTACATAAAATAAGATTTGTATCAGCTTAGTCACTCTTTAGTACGTTTAGCACACAGGCTCAATTGAGACTAAATTTCAGCTCTTGATCATTCTCAAAGGTCGCTCCTCTGTTTCTCCGTTGCACTCACCTTTTGAGAATATTAGTTTGTTTGTTGTAGGATTTCCTGAATCAAATCTTGACAGAAAAAACCCTCTTGGACAATACAGAACTCGTTATATTCAATGTCAAACAAGTGACTTTTCTGCTACACATTCTTACCATCTTTAGTAAAATATTTACCATAAATAGACAACCTAAGAATATACGATTTATAAAAGTATACTGCCTGGGTGATCGCTCATCTTGCCCGCCCTTTTCACCGGGCCTGCTCGCCAGTTTGAAACTTATCAGCCTAACTTCAACATAATGATATCGATTGATTTTTAACTCGAATATGCTGCAATATTTTTGTGACTGGAAATGTTCCAAGAATTTGGCTTCAGTTAAGTAGCAACGTTTGGAGCACTATAACCCTCTTTAATGTATAATGTTCTGTTCAGCTTTTCTTACCTGCTTCACATTTAGTGATAAATGTTTTATTTCTTTGAAAGACTTAGCGATTTTATAGTCTGACATATCTATTTTGTAAATTCTTGGTCATTTTCTTTTTAATAGAAACTCCAATCCGAAAAGGAAGCTTACCTGATGTCAAAGTTCTTGTACAAAAGAAGACCAGATGGAGGATATGATATGCGGTTCAACACTGAAGCTCTTGCTGATGCTCTCAAACAGTACCGGGATTCTCCCATTGTTCACAGTGGACTATATGATGGCCCAGCTTACTTCATTCATGGGTCCAAATCACCATTCAATGTGTAAGTAACCATTATTTTAGCATCTACTCGACTAATTCGTATGGCTACTTAAGTTTAGACAATACTAACTTATACTGCTGCATAACTCTGGGTAAGCACATTCAATAGGATATAATTCATCGGTCAAAAACGTGTAAATAGAGTTTATTGATCCGTAGTTTTTATCTTGGGTCAAGGTCTTGAATATCAAAAGGGATAAAAAATTTATCTTGTTAAATTTAATGTCATCACTGTAATTGGAGATTTTGCTCTATACAAATTGTAAAATCGGAAACTAGTCAAATCTCTTAAGGCTTATAGTATTAGAATCACTCTTGCAAGATTTTATACCTATTTACAAAATTTTACTTTGTGTTATTCAAGTCAACCAATATATTATAACTGAGTTAATTCTAGTGTTTAAAGTTATCTGTAGTTAATCTTAAATATTAATATTTTGTTCTTGGCACTGTAGTACGTTATTGTGAATTTTTTTTTTCTTTAAATTAAACTAAGTCAGTGAATTGAGCAGTACGATTGTAAAAATTTTGCATCTCGGATGTATTCATTGTGTTTCTAAGGAAATCAGCCAGCACCACAGTTCAACTCAAATTTTAGTACTTTTAAAAATAGTTTTTTATATTAACGGTACTTAAAAATCTATCTGAATAAATTTAGTTTGGTCTTAATTTTAGTTCTAATTCATGAGTATTGTACGATATAGTCGTAGACGCACAATACATTTCTGAACTTAAATCAATTCAATATATGAAACTACTGCAGCTTTTTCAAGCTTGTTCTACAAGCAGTTGACTATTTCGTAAGCGATTAACGTAGTTGAAACATCTCCTTAACTCTTTATGCTGTAGCATTATATTTTAAACCCAAATGTGGCTTAAAATAAGAGTTTGATAGTAAAAACTTCCCAGTTTCATAATTACCTCGTTGCGCAAATATGAAACGTTTTAATATTCTTTAATTTAATACTTGAACAGTAAATCTTAAAATAAAAGAGTAATTAAAACTTAAGGTTAACTATTTTATATAGTGCATAAATATATTAAACTAGTGTTCTTATTGTAGAGGTTCCGAGGAGGCAGACATCAAGAAATACTTTCCAAAGGCTGAGATGATAGAATTCAAAGGTGCTTCACATCATCTTTTTGTGGATTTTCCTGACAAATTCGTGGAAACACTTGTTAAAAGAATAGAATAAGGATGCAAATGTGACTCAGTGAACTGTTTAAGATATCCGGAGCAAAGCTTTAAGTATTTTTTAGTCTAAATGTTCGAACTAAAGTTAATAAAATTTTCCTGTTCCATACTGTATAGTTTTATTTATAATCAAATTAGTTTTACAAGCTAAACATTTGAGTGAATTTTCTTTTTAACTAGTCTACTTGCAGTGAAAGCAACAAGACTTTGAAATATTTAATTTGAACAAATACGTTGATAAGATTAAATTACCTGCAAGGTGGTAAACTAGTCCGGGAATTGAGTACTGTTGAATTATTCATTTTACGAAACTTATTTTAATTTAGCATTTCTATTAGTTTAGAGTGCTCTTAAACAAGTTTAAGCAATGCAAACTAGTTTCACTGCCCAGAAGTTTATTGAAAATTTTCGATAGGTGAAGTCTATTGTAAAATTTAGTACTGTGTAAGCTATATCGAAAAATCAACTCTTTAGATAATTTTGAGTGTTTTAAATTAGAATTACAAATTTTTTTATTCTAAATAAACAAGATCCGTTAAAATTTTACAAATTCTAATAATTTGGTAGATAGAAAGATCCTAAACTGGAAAAATACTAATTTTACTATTAAGACTTTAACTTATCAGAGAAAAAGGATAAGGATAAGGATAAGAATAAAAATAGTGAACAAAATTATTAAATCAACTTTTAGTAATTCAATATATAAATAAAAGCAAATGAAATTGATTGTTTATAGATATCTTCAGTGATACAAATCTTATTTTAGTCTTTTCGACTTTTCTGCTTTAATATTGTTTAAAAAAGCTTATTGCATATAATTATCGAAAAATGTGTGGCTGGAAAAAAAACAAGGTTCGCTTGAAATTGAAATCTAAACAAAACTTCGGAGCTGACGCTACATGTTGCTATATTATGTATTTCGTTACAGCATTTCTTTTAATTTAATCTCCCAGCATTATGAACACTTTGGCATAGTTTTCGACAATGACCTATTGATAGAATTTATAACGCAGTGCAAAGATAATTTATTAATGTTTTACTGTCGAGTGATTTGTAATGTACCTTTCTTGGATATGGGTTCATTTGCTAAAATCAACATTTGGCTAATATGCGTTTGTCTAAACGTTAATTTCGACTTACATTTATTTGAGCAGGCAAAAACATTTGAACTTAAACCGTTTGAATATTAATGCAATTTTAAAATCTCATAAAAGTTGAGTCTATAAAAGTGACTTTGGAATCGAATGTAAACCTAAAAAAATAATTACAAATGAAAAAAATTTGAAAAAAAAAAACATTTAATCTTTGATATTTGTTATAATAATCAAAACCTAAATTCTATAAAAGTAGATGAAATTAATGCCCATCAAGTTGCCAAATGTGGAAAGGCTTAAGTAAATATCAAAGTAAACTGTTAGTCAAGTAATTATAGCAAAGGAAGGGTGCTTCCTCGGAAAAATATTTTTTGACAAAAATTTGTTATTATAAAGGTTACTTAAAAATTCCCCAACTCTCTTCTGCACGCTTCCACCTATTTTAAGAAAACTGAGCTAATTCAGCTTTTTTTTCTACAAATTCAAGTGAGACATTGTTTCCGTTTTCTTAACGGAAGATAACGGTGAGATAATCTAACTTATAGTTAAAAGCTATAAGGGTTTTATACTCAAATTTGAACTTTCAGTTTACTCATCTGAGATTGTTTAGATATCTTTTTTTTTCTTACGTTGTATTAAATTAGACTTTAAGCAAGTCAAAGGAGCGAATATAGTTAGTTGTAAGAGTTCTCGAGCATAAAGAACTGTTTTTAGCATATCTTATTTTTTACTTTGCTATAAGGAACTTTCAGGATATATTTTTCTGCGAATTTTTTTTACTGAATTAAATGAGAAAATTTGAAATAATATTACACATTAGTTATTTGATAAGTGTAAATATTCCTTAAGTTTTAAGGGTTTTCTATATAATAAGTGAAATACGAAATTAAAAACTTTTCAAATATTAACCCTTTTTCGTTCATGTTTGTTCTAATTCGATAAAGCTAGGAAAAATAAACATAGGAAAATATACCTCTCTTTTATGTATCGCAACGTGCAAATAAGTGCTATATTTTACTTTTTGTGCTGACAGCGTTTATAACTTTTCAACTATGAGTCTGTTAGTCTTTAAATTGATCTCATTTAATTCAGTGTATTCCGGAAACAATACCTCTGTGTTGCATATCCTGGTCTCATTCTATTTAAAGTGAAAAAAAAATTCGGAAAATATACTTTTCGTGTTCAGATAGAATCTGGATAGCAATGTAAGGTGTATACGAAAGTATGTGCAAAAAGAACTTTTTTTTTCATAAAAACATTTGCAACTTAGGAACTATTATTCAACTGACTTGTTCATAATCTCATTTGATACAGCTTAAAATATAAGTAGGAGAAAATGTCTTACTAGTTTAAGTATCAATATCCGATGCATAAATAGTCCAAAGTACAAATTTATTCATTTTGCACATAAACCCTTACAATTTCTTAATTATTAGACTGATAGTCTTTAAATCAGTTTCATTTAATTCAGTGTAAAAAAGGTATTTCGGAAACAATTCCTCGGTCGCATATCTTGCCGAAATGTGACCGATATCTCCTTTTTAAAAGTTCCTTATACTGAAGTTCTAAGGGAGATGTACTTATTTTAAGGAACAGAGCTTAAAACTTGTCTGTTAGTTCACTTCTGAAATTATTTTTTCTAAGATTCATAGTTGAAAATACTTGCTCACATATAAGATGAAGCAAACATAGCACTGATTTTGTTGTCATGAGATATTAAATTTGGGAAACTAGCTTTTTGTAATAATTTGTCAAAACTCAAAATTTAGCATATTTAGAAACAACTGCTTTCATGCAATCTCCGTCTTAGATTGCAACTCAATCAATTCAAGCTGTAAATCTTAAATCACTTTTTCACAATTTATGCTGAAAGGCACGGAAAAAATATCTAAATATGTTCGAATGGCACTGAAGTCTTGAAATCTGTATTCAAACTTAACATTGAGTTTTTTCGAGCTATCTTCATAAATCTCAAGCTTTTCCTTATTCGAAACTCTATCTGAGAGCCAGATAAAGCCTTTCGGCGGGCCACAGTTGTCACGCGGGCCGTAGTTTGCCCATCCCTGGTCTAAAAAGTGAATATGACTTGGTTCTGTAAATTTGCATCATAGTATAATGTACTAAATACTACACCAGAAAAGAAATAAGATATATTCTGAGTTACTCCGGAAATTGAACCCGCTATCTGTTTGCTTTAGAACATATAGTAGAAGAACCTTTCCCATAATAAAATACGCAGATGTGTACTTGCTCACATATGCTACAGAACATAGAAACATGCTTAAATTTGCTGGCATATACATAGAACATATACATAGAAACATGCTCAAATTTTCTGGCATTCAAACAGTTTACATGTCCTCTTCAAATTAATGAACAGACATCATAGAATTTCATCATATGAATAATGAAATGAGTTATGGTGGAAATCAACTTCACTATGTCGGAAAGAGGACACATATTTATTAATTAGTTTAAATATATAGTCTATTGCTCTCGATACAAAGAACGGCTTATAAACCTTCAAAATATAGAAGAAATCAGAGATAAACGGTTTATGCCTCCAGAGTTACGACGAGAATCGAACCCTCTACCCACGTTCTAATAAGATAGGTGAAATGGGGCAACACCTCGTCAATGGAGACCTCAAGATAATTGAGAGGCCATTATTGCAGCTTTTTGTAAATTCACTTACTTATATTTACCGCAATGCAGTTATTACGAAATGTTTTTAGAACTCTATTTTTCTCCCTAAAACATTATTTTTGTCATGTATGTCTCTTAGTCTAATTTCAAGATGAATGGGAAAAGGGCCGTAAGGCCTCAGACTCCCAGTTCCACTACAACGAACGAACGAACAAAATATTTATATACATATATTTGCTTAAAGAGCTAGCGTAAAACATTTTTAAGTGAAAATGCATATTTGCATTTTATTTCAATTTAGTNGGCAGTTAGTTATTTCAAGGACGGAATTCATAATACTCAATATACAGTATTGTTGTATACATTTTACTGTAAGTGGGGGGGCGCGATGAAAATTATGATTGAAAATTGGGCCGCGAATACTGAAAGGTTGAGAACCGCTGCTTTAAGTCAAGATTCAGATTCAAACTTTTGAGAGCAAATCAGAACAACTCTTTGAGAGGTAAGAATTTGTTTATAAATAAAACACCAAAACTGTCAAAACTATTTGATCTGACTGCAGTAGAATAATTTATTTGAATAATTTTTTTTCAATATCATTTAGTATTAGGAGAATTTTGCCTTCTTGGAGGACTTATAATGGAACGAACCCGCATTTGCTTTTCGTGGAGAGGAAAATCAGGAAAACTGCCCATGGTTAGTTCGAGGGTAAGGGGATTCCAACCCGTGATCCGTCTAAACCTGAGAATATTTTACGTCAGACCAGTGGATGATGAGAACAGAATTCGTATCAACCAGCCAAGATGGTATTCGAGCCTGCGTCATCTCATTGAGGGTTCACCCTCTGCCCCCTGAGCCATCGCGGCTCTTAAGATGTTATTTTAAAAAGTACCTGATATGAAAAACTATTCTTCTATACATAGATCCCATGAACTTATAAATCCATGACTAAAAATTACCAAGTAGGGCGAGTAAATGTTGGTACCAGTAGCTGGAGTCAGACGCTATAATTTTACCAGTAACCGAAATTTCCCTTTTCTTAAAATAATTTTTTATAGAGATGTTTAATGAATTCATTTAGGAAATTTAAATAGATTGCATAATGTCAACCAAGCTTATGAATTTTAATCTTTGGGTTAACGGATTTCCATTGTCTTATACTACCATGCATACGAATAATCTTATCATTCAGCAAGAGAAAAAGTAAATGTTCCTTTATTCGTTCTTGTGGCTATACATTCATTTTTAATTAAATACGAACATGCATGAAGAACAATGAAATTTTTCTGAAAATACTTAAGCACACTAGTTCTTGAATAATTTGAATGCCATCATTGTGAGGTACTTTTTCATCAAATGTTTAAGAT